TGCGTGGCTGAAGTGAGAATCCGTTGTGAGGATTCTGCTTGTTGCGTTGTTGTTGTCGTCGTCGTCGTCGTTGTTGTTGTTGCTGTTGTTGTTGTTGTTGTTGTTGTTGTTGTTGTCGTCCCCCCCGCGACCCACCCCGTGACCCACCCCGCGACCCACCCCGCGACCCACCCGGCGACCCACCGGCGACCCAACCCGCGACCCACCCGCGACCCACCCGCCATTCACCCGCGACCCACCCCGCGACCCACCCCGCGACCCACCCCGCGACCCACCCCGCGACCCATCCGCGACCCACCCGCGACCCACCCGCGACTCACTTGTGACCCACCCGGCGACCCACCCCGCGACCCACCCGCGACCAACACGCGACCGATCCATATTGGTTTGAAGAAAAAATCGGCGCCTGCGGCGGGCTAGTGTATAATGTGTGAAACTTTGGCGCCTGCGGCGGGCTTCTGCAGAGTCTCGCAGACTGCCCACGTTTTCACCGCCCCCTCACTCTTATCCGCATCTGCGGGGTGCGACGTACACCGAGCCCGCCGCAGGCGCCGATTTTTCTTTAAATCAATGTAGGTAGGTCGCGGGTGGGTCGCACATGGGCGGGTGGGTCGCGGGTGGGTCGTTGTTGGGTCGCGGGTGGGTCGCGGGTGTAGAGGGCAGAAAGTCCTCCCCAGAATAATCACCCCGACAAGCAAAGCCGTTTAGTAAAAGCACGCAAGGAATGAATCGAACAGGGCAGGCTTGTTTAGCCGACGACACGTCAATTGTCGGGTCCAGGTGGTTTTTCCTTCCTTGAGGGTGGGTCGCGGGGTGGGTCGCGGGGTGGGTCGCGGGTGGGTCGCGGGTGGGTCGCGGGGTGGGTCGCGGGTGGGTCGCGGGGTGGGTCGCGGGTGGCTCGCGGGTGGGTCGCGGGTTGGGTCGCGGGTGGGTGGAGGGTTGGGTCGCGGTTGGGTCGCGGTGTGGGTCGCGTGGTGGGTCGCGGGTGGGTCGCGGGTGGATCGACGACAATAAACAGCAACAAGAACAGCAAACAGAATTCTCACCACGAATTCTTTATTCAGCCACGCACCCAGGGACAATGAATGACCGTTCGGCCCCCTCACTCTGAGAATCAAGTTGTTCCCGGAGATCTTAGCACGCCTCTGACCCGTTGCGCAGGCGAATTGAACAGCATCGCCGCCGAAGCTTGCGCTTTGAAGTTCAGCACGGCATTTCAATGCTGGCGGCCCCAAAGTCTCGTGCATGCGTGTATCTGGTTTTCGGCGCATGGGTTCAGTTGTCGGACAGTTATGATTCATTACATGATGGGCATTTCGTGGTTTGTGCTTATTCTTGCGAGATCGACCACGGCCTCAAACGGTTCTTACATCGGTGATGTGGCGACGGTTGCGGCTTATCGCGTGTATGTGGCATCATTCCGGAGTTTGTTGGCGTGTTTCGCGATCGCGACGAAGTCGCCCAAGCGCGCGTGCATCGATGGGCGAAGTGGCGTTTCCTCCAGCAGTGGCCCGCAGATTTCAGCGCCGACGGCCTGCACGAGGAAGCGGCGGCGGGAAGCTGGCGAGGTCTGCTCGTCCCAAAGGTCTTCAGGCAGAGGCTCATCAGCTAGTCTTGGCCCCTGGCGCGGCGGAGTCGCAGTCGCGCTGGGTGCATTCTCCTGGCCTTGGCATCGCTCGGACGTGTGCATTTTTCCTTCGGCGAGGGCCATCGAGGAGCATCCTTGATCATTTGGCGAAAAAAACACGCACGAAACCGACAAAAAAAACAGGGAACGGACGTCCGAGCGATGGCCAGTGGCGTGCTGTAGCACACGCAGCAAGTGCGACGTGACGTGCAGATGGTGTCCGACCAGGGGCCGCTGGAGGCGCAGAACGAGCCCACCAGGATCTTGCACGACGTCGCGGGTCGTTGCAAGCATGCTTGCGGCGGCTTTTGCGTCCGCGGCCCCTTCTTCATGTCCTGCCTCGCCGTTTGCATCCGTGCAGGATGGTGCAGACCGTTGCAAGCCCTAGTCAGGTTCATCGGGCGACAGTGTGTTCCGAATGTCTGTTAATGCGGCGTTGGGGTCCGATGTTCTGATATTGTAATGGGCTCGGGTGTTCAAATGTACAGACGGTCGTCTGAGCCCACCCGACGGTGGAAATGGTACGAATGGTGATGCTTCGCTACGCCTCTTGCTCCTCCTCCTCCTCGTCTTCCTCATTTCCCCCCCCGTCCCCCAAATCTTATTGCGAAACGGCTGCGTCGTGGATCTCTTGCGAGCAGGTTCAACGAAGTCCCCGCCCACTCTTGTTCCTCCATTCGTAGCATCCACATGCTTATCATATGCTGTTTCTCCTCCTACTCGTCCTGATACTCTCTGCTCCTTCTCATCGTCTCGGGGTGCTTCCTGATGATCCCCAGCGAAGCCCAGCACCATGCAAAAAAACATGGTCTTCCCCATCGTCTCCTCCCCGACGGCATCCTCGCGACCCGTCTGCTCAGCCTCCTTCCCCTGCGTTGTGAGGCCCTTGCAGTGCGCGCCCCCGCCCCCCCAGCGAGGAAACTCAACGACATCGTGCGAGAGCAGGGAGGTTGTGGATCGTGTTGGGCAGAGGAGACGCCTCACCTGAATTCCCCCCATGCACCGTCGTCCTACAGTCGGGGCGCTGAAGAAGGAACCCTTTTCGTTGGGGAGTGGCTCGGTGTCCCTTGATTGTTTTACAGTTTGCATCAGGTTTTCCTCAGGTTTTCCACTGGAAATCGAAAGTTCAACTTCTGGGAAAAAGGGACCCCGTTCTTGATTTAGGGTTCCTTAGTTGAACACCCCGACGGTATTCCTCCTCGTCCGTCCCCGTCGTCATCATTCCCCTCTCCCCCCCCCATCTTGGCACCCTCCGCGTCGGCTTCGAGCACTTTCAGCTGCTACACCGAGCCGCACGATCTCCCAGGGATGAGCGACGTGGACGTCGAGGCCTTTTTTCGGGCAAAGTGCGGAAGCATTTTCGTGATGGGCTTTTTTCCTGCCGAATGGCAGCGTGTGGTTATCTATATGTGCGGGGCCTCCAGCTCCCATACGCGTGGCGGTGGACATGACTTTGGTTGTGATCCCTATTGTCCATGCTGTGGTGGTCCGCGTTGGCCATCACTACCGCACTGTGTTGCCGGGTGCCCAGCCTTCGCAGATTTCAGGCGCCAGTTCGGCACATTTTATGGTGTGGCAGGTTCTTGGTGGACTAGCCAGCCTCGTGTTACATCGAGTTCTGGATGGACTATTTGTTCTGCACATCGTGTCGCAGAGCGAAGACCCGAGCTGATGATGATGCAGGTCCGCATGGGTCTGTACGACGCTTCTACTGGTACTGGAATGCGGAGTCCAACGAAGGCTCGTTTCGGAGGACGCCGTGCAGCTTCCTGATCTTCAATTGGTTGTGGGATGTTTGCGAATGCTTGTGGGTGCTTGTGGCATTTTTCAGAGACGTCAACGATGTTATTGCGTAGTTGCTTGTGCTTCTTCATCCTGGTATTCCTTGATATTCTGATGTTTGGAAGCTGCTACCTCGAATATCTGGTATTCTTATGTTTTCAGGTTCCAACTCCAGTTCGGTTGTTCCTGAAGTACACCTAGCCCCTCGTGCGCGAGCAGGATGGTTGTGGATCGCGTTCGGCAGTGGAGACGCCTCCCTTGAATTTCCCCCCGCACCGTCATTGTATTCCTCCTCGTCCGTCCCCGTCGTCATCATTCCCTTCTCCCCCATCTTGTCACCCTCCGCTTCGGCTTCGACCACTTTCGGCTGCTACACAGAGCCACACGATCTCCCAGGGATGAGCGACGTGGACGTCGAGGCCCCTTCGGGCAAAGCGCGGAAGCATTTCCGTGATGGACTTTCTCCCGCCGAATGGCAGCATGTGGTTATCTATATGTGCGGGGCTTCCAGTTCCCATACGCGTGGCGGTGGACATGACTTTAGTTGTGATCCCTATTGTCCGTGCTGTGGGTGGTCCGCGTTGGCCATTTGTATTGCACTGTGTTGCCGGGTGCCCTGTCTTCGCAGGTTTCAGCCGCCAGCTCAGCACATCCTATGGCGTGGCAGGTGCTTGGTGGACTAGCCAGCCCCGCGTTGCATCAAGTTCTGGATGGCTTTTTTTTGCACATCGTGTCGCACAGCGAAGACCCGAGCTGCTGGTGATGCAGGTCCGCATGGGTCTGCACGACGCTTCTACTGGTAGTGGAATGCGGAGTCCAACGAAGGCTCGTTTCGGAGGACGCCGTGCAGCTTCCTGATCTTCAATTGGCTGTGGGATGTTTGCGAATGCTTGTGGGGCACTTTCCCGAGAAGTCCACGATATTCTTGCCTAGTTGCTGGTGCTTCTTCATCTTGATATCCCTTGATACCCTGATGTTTGGAAGTTGCTGCCTCGAATGTCCGGCATGCTTATTCTTATCCCGGTCCCAACTCCATTTCGGCTGCTCACGAAGTACACCAAGCCCCTCGCGCGCGAGCAGGGTCGTTGTGGATCGTTTTGGGCAGGGGGGGCGCCCCCCCTGAATTCCCCCCTCGCCGTCGTCGCATTCCTCCTCGTCCGCCCCCGTCGTAATCATTTCCCTCTCCCCCCCTCCCCCCCCCCCCCTCCCCATCTTGTCGCCCCCCGCTTCGGCTTCGAGCGCTTGCAGCTGCTACGCCGAGCCGCAGCGATTTCCCAGGGGCGAGCGACGTGGGCGTCGAGGCCCTCTCGGGCAGAGCGCGGAAGCATGTTCGCGATGGGCTTTCTCCTGCCGGATGGCAGCATGTGGTTGCCTACATGCGCGGGCCGCCCAGTTCCCACGCGCGCGGCGGCGGGCATGACTTTGATTGTGGTCCGTATTGTCCGTGCTCTGGGGGCCCGCGTTGGCCATCAGCACGGCACTGCGTTGCCGAGCGCCCTGCCTTCGCAGGTTTCCGACGCCAGCCCCGCACATTTTATGGCGTGACAGGTTCTTGGTGGACTAGTCAGCCCCGTGTTACATCGAGTTCTGGATGGATTATTATTTGTGTACATCATTTCGCGCTGCGAAGATCCGAGCTGATGGCGGCGCAGGCCCGCGTGGGCCTGAACGGTGTTTTGACTGGCAGCGGGATGCGGAGTCCGAAGAAGGCTCGTTTCGGAGGGCGTCGTGCAGCTGCCTGGTCGTTCATTGGCTGTGGGATGTATGCGAATGCTTGTGGAACAATGTCTCAGAGACGTCCACGATGTTCTCGCTTAGCTGCCGGTGCTTCTTCATCCTGGTCTTCCTTGATATTATGATGTTTGGAAGTTGCTACCTCGAATGTCTGGTATCCTTATGCTTATCCAGGTTCCAACTCCAGTTCGGTTGTTTCTGAAGTACACTGGGCTCCTCGTGCGCGAGCAGGGCGGTTGTGGATCGCGTTGGGCAGAGGAGACGCCCCCCTTGAATTCCCCCTCGCCGTCGTCGTATTCCTCCTCGTCCGTCCCCGCCGTCGCCACCCCCCCCCATCTTGTCGCCCTCCGCTTCGGCTTCGAGCGCTTTCAGCTGCTGTGCCGAGCCGCGGCGATTTCCCAGGGATGAGCGACGTGGGCGTCGAGGCCCTTTCGGGCAAAACGCGGGGGGCAGTTTCGCGATGGGTTTTCCCCTGCCGAATAGCAGCATGCGTTTACCTATATGTGCGGGGCCTCCAGCTCCCATGCGCGCGGCGGTGGGCCTGATTTTGATTGTGATCCATATTGTCCGTGCTGCGGGGGTCCGCGCTGGCCATCAGTGCGGCACTGCGTTGCCGAGCGCCCTGCCTTCGCATATTTCACGCGGCAGCCCCGCACATTTTATGGCGTGGCAGATTCTTGGTGGACTAGCCAGCCTCGTGTTACATCGAGTTCTGGATGGACTGTTGTTTTCTGCACATCGTGTCGCGCGAAGGTCCGAGCTGATGGCGGCGCAGGTCCGCATGGGTCTGAACTATGCTTCTACTGGCATTGGAATGCGGAGTCCAAAGGAGGCTTGTTCTGGAGGACCCCGCGCAACTTCCCGAGCTTCAATTGGCGATTGGATGCGCGCGAATGCTTGTGGAACAAGGTTTCAGAGACGTCCGCGATGTTCTTGCTTAGCTGCCTGTGCTTCTTCTTCCGGATCCCTCTTGATATCCTGCTGTTCGGAAGTTGTTATCCCGAATGTTTGGTATTCTTATGTGTGTCCAGGTTCCAACTCCAGTTCGGTTGTTCCAGAAGTGCACCGAGCCCCTCGTGCGCGAGCAGGGTGGTTACGCATCGCGTTGGGCAGGGGAGACGCCTCCCCTGAATTTCCCCCTCACCGTCGCCGGTTTCCTCCTCGCCCGCCCCCGTCGCCATCGTTCCCTTCCCCCCCCCCATCTTGTCACCCCCCGCTTCGGCTTCGAGCGCTTTCAGCTGCTATGCCGAGCCGCGACGATTTCCCCCGGATGAGCGACGTGGACGCCGAGGCCTTTTTCCGGGCAAAGCATGTAGGCATTTTCGTGATGGATTTTCTCCTGCCGAATGGCAGCCTGTGGTTACCTGTGCGCGCGGGGCATCCAGCTACCATGCGCGCGGCGGTTGACATGACTGCGATTGTGATCCATTTTGTCCGTGCTGCGGGGGCCCGCATTGGCCATCAGCGCGGCACTGTGTTGCCGAGTGCCTTGCCATCGCAGATTTCAGACGCCAGCTCAGCACATTTTATGGCGTGGCAGATTCTTGGTGGACTCGCTAGCCTCGTGATCCATCGAGTTCTTGGTGGACTACTTTTTGCTGCACATCGTGTCGCAGAGCGAAGATCCGAGCTGATGGTGGCGCAGGTCCGCGTGGGTCTGCACTCTGTTTCTACTGGCAGTGGAGTGCGGAGTCCAAAGAAGGCTCGTTTCGGATGACGTCGTGCAGCTTCCCGATCTTCAAGTGGCCGTGGGATGCATGCGAATGCTTGTGGAACAAGGTTTCAGAGACGTCCACGATGTTCTTGCTTAGCTGCCTGCGCTTCTTCATCCTGATATTCCTTGATATTCTTGTGTTTGGAAGTTGCTATCTCGAATGTCTGGTATTCATGTGTTTATCCAGGTACCAACTCCAGCCCGGTTGTTCCTGGAGTACACCAAGCCTCTCGTGCGCGAGCAGGGTGGTTGCGCATCGCGTTGGGCAGAGGAGCCGCCTCCCCTGAATTTCCCCCATCACCGTCGCCGTATTCCTCCTCGTCCGTCCCCGTCGTCATCGTTCCCCTCTCCACCCCGTCTTGTCACCCTCCGCTTCGGCTTTGAGCACGTTCAGCTGCTGCACCGAGCCGCGACGATTTCCCAGGGATGGGCGACGTGGACGTCGAGGCCTTTTCGGGCAAAGCGCGGGGGCAAGTTCGTGATGGACTCTCTCCTTCCGAATTCCAGCACGTGGTTGTCTATATGTGCGGGGCCTCCAGCTCCCATGCGCGTCGCGGTGGACATAACTTCGGATGTGATCCAAATTGTCCGTGCTGTGGGGTCCGCATTGGCCATCAGTACGGCCTTGTGATGCCGAGTGCCCTGACATCGCAGATGTCAGACGCCAGCTCAGCACATTTTATGGTGCGGCAGATTCTTGGTGGATTAGCCAGCCTCGTGTTACATCGAGTTCTGGATGGGCTATTTTGTTTTGCACATGGTGTCGCAGAGCGAAGATCCGAGCTGATGGTGATGCATGTCCGCATGGGTCTGCACTATGTTTCTAGTGGCAGCGGAATGCGGAGTCCAAAGAAGGCTCGTTTCGGATGACGTCGCGCAGCTTCCTGATCTTCAATTGGCCGTGGCATGGGTGCGAACGCTTGAGGAACATTTTTCAGAGACGTCCAAGATGTTCTTGCTTAGCTGCCTGTGTTTCTTCATCCTGGTCTTCCTTGATATTCTGATTTTTGGAAGCTGCTATCTCGAATGCTTTAGTATTATTATGTTTATCCCGGTTTCAGTTCGGTTGTTCCTCAAGTACACCAAGCCCCTCGTGCGCGAGAAGGGTGGTTGTGGATCGTGTTGGCCAGGGGAGACGCTTCCCTTGAATTTCCCCCTCACCGTCGTCGTATTCCTCCTCGTCCGTCCCCGTCGTCGTCATTCCCCTCTTCCCCCATCTTGTCACCCTCCGCTTCTACTTCTCCGCTCCCATGTCCTCGGCCTCCTCTTCCTCATCCGTTCCTTCCATTCCTCCTCGTCCGTCTGCTCGTTTTCACCTATTGATCTCCCCCCTCATCCGATGCTCCATCTCCTCCTGAACCCCCCTTTTCATGTTCTTTGTTCCATCATTATCAGGGGCATTTCCTTCACATCTGCGTGGGAGGATGGAAAAGGTGTCGAGGAAAATGAATACCATGTGATGCTGGTCAAGTTGGCGATGGCGACGATGAGTGTCATGATGAGGATGAGGAGGAGGAGGAGGAGGAGGAGGAGGAGGAGGAGGAGGAGGAAACGGGAGAGAGGAGCCCAAAGAGGAGACGCCAGATGAGGATGAGGACGAGGGGGGAGGCCCGCCCGCGGCCCACCCGCTACCTGCCCAGCGAGCGACCCACGACACGCACCGGCGACCCACGGCCCGCGCCCAAAGATGGCCGCATGCGGCGGCCCGTGCCTCTGAAGAAGATGCGCCCGCGGCGTGCTTCTTCGCACTGGCGGCCGTGCTGCGCAGCCCCCGCTGGCCCGCCCGTGCAGCCTCCGACGGGCTGCGCGCCTCGCCAGCGGTTGCGTCGCAAACCCCGCGGGGACGCTCCCCCTCCTCCTCCTCCCTCCTCCTCCTCCTCCTCCTCCTCCTCCTCCTCCCTCCTCCTCCCTCCTCCTCCTCCTCCTCTCCCTCCTCCTCCTCTTCCTCCTCCTCCTCCTCTCCTCCTCCTCCTCTCCTCCTCCTCCTCCTCCTCCTCCTCCTCCTCCTCCTCCTCTCCTCCTCCTCCTCCTCCTCCTCCTCCTCCTCCTCCTCCTCCTCCTCCTTCCTCCCACCTTCTCCTCTTCCCTCCTCCTCCGCCGCCTCCTCCTCCTCCTCCTCCTCCTCCTCCTCCTCCTCCTCCCCCTCCCCGCTCCCCACGGGCTGGTCAGCCCGCGCCGCGTGAGTCCTCCACCCACGGCGCGGGCTGACCAGCCCTGGGTAGACGAGGGCGCCCAGAGCCGGCAGTCACGGCCCGGGCACGCGGCGCGGCCCCGGCAGATCGCGCAGGCTGGGACTGAGGAGGAGGCCGCTCGCGGGGCACAGCCAGCCCGCATAGGAAGGATGGGCAACCTTCCCAAGGGCACCCTTGCATCCTTCCCCTTCGGCCCGCCCCGCTTTCGCTGGCCGCTTTCGCTGGCCGCGCCCCGCCCGCAAAGTGTCGACATGGCCTTCGCAGACCCTTGTAGCCTTATCGTGCGTATTTGTGATGCCGCCCTCTGACCCTGAGATCCGATGCAGCGACAAAAACTGCAACATCGTAAACCCTCACGCCCGGAACCCTAGACCCCATGCCTTCCGCGTCATCTTGCGCGGCGGATCGACCTGCGAGGGCCCCCCCGGGCCCGAGCAGAAGCGAAACCGCCCGGCTCGCAGTACCTGGGCCGCCTGGATCCCTGCGGGGCGCAGCGCCTCGCGTGGACCTCTGGGCCGCAGGGCGGCGGTGCCCGCGCCCCCTCCAGTCGGGACGACCGACATGGGTACTGAAAGAATGGTTACAATGGAGGAGGAGGAGGGGGGAGGAGGAGGAGGGGGGAGGACGAAGAGGAGGAGGAGGAGGAGGAGGAGGAGGAGAAGGAGGCGGAGGAGGAGGAGGAGGAGGAGGAGGAGGAGGAGGAGGAGGAGGAGGAGGAGGAGGGGGGGTACAATGCCCAACAGCAGTTCCTGCTCATTTTGAACAGGGCTCGCTGTCCGCGCCGCCGCGGCTGGTGTCCATTTGAGACAGAAGGCCGCCTGCCCAACAGCGGCCGCTGTCGGTTTGGGACAACACTTCGTGTTGGGCACTGTGCCCATTCTTTCTGTACCCATTTCGGGCGTCCAAATCCAGGGCCCCTCCGCCTGGGGCGGCGGAGGGCCGCACCCGCGCCTCCTCGGGCGCCGAGCCTCCGTCGAGCAGGCCGCCGCCTGCGCTCGCCCTCGGGGGCCGAGCCCGCGCACCACCGAGGGCCCCCCCAGTGGGGAGGCGGCGCGTGCGTCCCGCGCCTCCTCGGGCGCCGAGTTCCCCCGAGATCCTGGCGACGCAATTGTGTTTCGAGCCGACCGTTTTCACATCCCTGCGGGCCCCCGGGGCCCTCACAGCTCCATCCGGCTCGACGAATGGCGCACAAGATAGGGTATAGGGCTCCCGGCGCGATTTTTCACGGCGTCTCGTTTTTTTTCGAGACGTCGGATCTCAGGGTCTGTCGCGTGGCCGCGCCCGCGTGCGCCCATGGGGCCGAGCCTGCGCGCAGGCAGGCGCGGCGTACGATGCTTCCCGCGCTCAACCTGGCCTCGCTCTCGACCCCCGACCAACCCCTCCGCCTCTAGCTCAATCGTGGGGCGGGCCGCGAGGCAGGAGAATGATGAGGATGAGGAGGCAGGAGAATGAGGAGCAGGAGGAGGAGGAGAACCAGTGTAAACCCATGATTCATCCACTATGTTGGAGTACCCCCTCCTTCTACAGCCCCCTACAAAGATTTATTTCCACTGAGGGAACTGCTCTGTTGGGAGGCAATCGTTTCAAGACCCTGGAGCGTACCACAACGCCATTCCCCGACTCCAGCTCCACGAGTCAGCCTGACTGTTGCGTTACGACGATCTTCAATCGTGCCAGGAAGCTATTCCTGGGACTGCAGCACCGCGAATCAACACAACTGTTGCGCTCTGACCATCCTGAACATCCCGGAAACACCAGTTCTGGGACGTTGAGCATCATGGGAATCCGTGAAGCTGTTGCACTTGCTGAAAACGAGTACACGCGGCACGAAGGCGAGAGGCACATTCTGAAAACGGCCCGCTCTCAATCCGTGAGACTCTTCCAATGTTTTAAGACCTGCGCTAAGGCGAGAGCCACATTTTGAAAACGGCCCGCCCTCAATCCGTGAAACTCTTGTCACTGTTTAATCGAATGTGCGCGGCGCTCAGGCGAGAGCCGAAGTTTTGAAAAGCGCCCGCCCTCCATATGTGGAGCTGTTGCCAATGTTTAAGTTCCACGGGCGTAGATGGTGAGCAACTTTCAGGCGAAACGCCCGGCCCGCATTTTTGACCGGCCTCGGGGCGCGACAGGGAGGAGTTGTTCGTAAGGCAAAAGAGGAATGGGGGAGGAGGAGGAGGAGGAGGAGGAGGAGGAGGAGGAGGAGGAGAATGAGGAGAATGAGGAGGCGGAGGCTGAGGAGGAGGAGGAGGAGGCGGAGGAGGAGGAGGAACATGGTTGTCCTTTCGCGCTGAGCAAGCCTGCCGGCCAGTGCCCGTGGCCACCCCACCGCGGCACCGTTCCCGATGTTTCTCATTATTCCTCGTTTTCTTCTGATCATCATTCGCGGTATGTGTTGTGCTTCTCTTCTTTCAATAATCGTCTCTCTTTTTTCTTCTTCTGAATATATATTCCTGCTCGTGATGCCAGAAGAGTATTGCAGGGCATGGTATAATGCAGCAGCGCGATGCGTTTGTGCGCGCCCTTGGCTTAGAGTGTCGGGCGGGAGGGCCTTCGTCCGAAGCACGCCTAGCCGGGCTGACTGCACCGAAAAGCCGGACAGCGCTGAACCAACCTGCTGGCCAGTGCCCGTGGTAATCTCACCGGGGCATGGCGCGGAGAAGGATCAAGGGAGAGGGGAAGGGAGTAGTAGGAGGGAAAGGGAAAGGCCGGATTGGAAGAGGATGATAGTATGAGGAGTAGGAATAGTTTCCTCATCCTCCTTCGGCTCCTCGTCATTATCGTCCTGCTGATCCCTTGCGAAACAAACGCCTGGAGGCTGCCACCGCAACGCTAGAAGGCCAGATGGAAGCCAACAAGACGGTGATGAACAAGCTGCGCCAGGCCCTCTTCTTCCGTCTCCTCATACACCTCCTTATCCTGCTCTTCCTTGTCCAGGTCCTTCTCCTCCTGCCCCTGAATCATGGGAGCTATGAGGATGAGGAGAAGAGTGAAGAGGAGGAAGACGTGCCAGAGGAGGGATGGCGGGGGAGAAAATGGACAAACAACAGGAGGGGGGATAATTATGAGGAAGACGATGATGGTGGAGGAACAGGGTGAGGATGGACAGGAGCAGGAGGTGAAAGAGGCGAGGTGGAGAAGGATCAGATGAGGATTACGGGTGCAGGTTGGGAAGGGGGGAGGGAGGGAACCCGTAAAACGGACGATGCGGAGATAGAGCGCCTGGACGGAAATGAACATGAGGAATACTGGGAGAAGGAGAAACATGAGGAGGGGGGAGGACGAAGGAGGGAGGAGAACGAAGAGAAGGTCGAAGGGGGGATCTTACTACTGCTCGATCATTTGAATGAGTCTTCCTCCTCCCCCACCTCCTCCCCCTTCTCCTCCTCCTCCTCGTCCTCCTCCTCCTCCCTCCTCCCTTCATTCCTCCCCGTATCCTCTCCTCCGAGGGCTC